GGAAAGGTACAAGTCAATTTTATATATGAATACCTCTGACAAATATCAGATGCTTGTATGCAAGTGAAATCATCAATGACCTTAAAGTAATTAATTATAAGCATTAATTGTCTCGTAATAATATTTTTAAGCTTTGAAGATAGATATTTAACATTCACACATTGTATACAATACAGCATCTCTCATTACTCCGAAGAGACCACAATGTACACCGGTCTGGTCTGTGTCATCCAATCAGATTTTTGTCTTGGGGTGGAGGGGTTGGGTGAGGAATGGAACCGGAAAACTTTGATGCAAACCTTAGAATTATGTATTTCTCTAAAGTAAGTTAAATCATAGCATTTTATTTTTAATTATTCTTCAAATATATATATAGGCTTAACAAAGACTTATGAGCTAATATAAACAATTATTTATTATTTTTATATTATCTACTACACAGTTCATTATTTGCATTCTCTCAAATTAATCAAACATTTTAGAGATTTATTTACTGTACAGCAATAGAACTGATCGATTGTCTAGAAAAGATCATTTAAGACCCATAAAAAGCAGAAGCATATCATTGCAATCTTCATTACTCAGAAGAAAGTGTGTCCATGATATATAAAAATTAATTACTCCTCAAAACAAAAAGTACACAATTCAAAATAAAATCAGAATATAATTGTTATATTTATACATTTAGTATTTAAGAGAAATTTACAGGTTAGTAAATTTTGTGGTGAATAATGATGGTGATAGGAGACTCGAGGATTGGAAAATTTCAGTGTAAATAATTGCTAATGAGGCTTAGTGATCAGTGCGAGTAAAAGCTATCGTTGGGGAGCTGTCGTCAGGGTGTGACTCACTGACTCCAAGACCACTGGCAGTTCCACCTTTGTGCCTCAGGGGGACTGCAAGCCGTGAAGATGGTATCTGAGCCATTGTACTCCAGGGTGAGAGGACCACTGTCCAGGACACAGAAGAACCACTGCAGGGAGCAAGAATACTGCAGGTCTTTTAATCCAATTAACTTTTCCCTGAATTCAAATCCCTTACCTACACTTTGTTCTCCTGATAAAAAGGGCCATTTTAAAATGGAATGTGAGACGGTCCGTTGGGGTGTGAACCCACTTCATCTCCTCAAGATCGCGCCACCTGAATAAAGGCGCCCATGGAGAATCAATCTGTCTCACTCATTGGTTACCACAGGCAGTATGAATCTGGTCTCTTCCGGTTTCTGTTTTGGTGATTCCACTGGGATGGTTTTAGGACTCTTGATGAAAGTGTGGGTATTCGGCAAAGTCCCATTGGCTGCCTGGACCTTTGAGAGCCTCAGAGTTTGTGTTTGGAGATTCCCAAGCAGCTGCAAGTGATTTCACTTGGGGACTCTCCCCTACTGCCAACACTTCTCGTCATTTATCATGTTTGATTAGTTGTTGTGCTTCCTGTTTCAGGTTAAAATCCCAAGTCCACGACTGAAAGTCATCTGGTTAAGGTACCATTTGGTTTACAGAGCTGTGTCTGGAGGTGGGAGGAAAGATGTCTGATTTTGTTAAGAAAAGCCCCCGTTCTGGAAAACAGCCCTGGGGCCAGTTCTGGCTAATCGGTTGACTTATTATAAACGCATGACTAGAGTGAATTGACTTTGTTTAATACTACTCAGCTTATGTATTGTCTGCTCTAGACTCAGGAGCTGGCAATTGGTCCTTTAGATTCCCATGTGGAAGATAGTGGGGGCTCAGAGGAGAGGACCAGAACCTAGATATTATGGCTGCTTCAAGCAAGATCAGACTCCCCAGCCTCTCCAGCCGAGGACCTACTCAGCTGAGGGAACTGAATGCGCCTGAACTGGTATATTTGGGTAACTAAGATGAGCAATGCTCCCACTAGCCTTGACTGGGTCCAGTAAACTGTATTTGCATAAACTTGAGTCGACCTGCATGCTTTATCATGCTTGTTATGCGATATTTTAGCACTCTGCCGTCTCTATGTACATTTAGTATATAGGGACTAGGGGTGTCCCGCTGCGTGACTTATGGCTTGCAGTTTGCATGAATCCATCCTGGAATAAAGGCATGTCTGGCATTCTCACAGCCCCGTGAATTTTCTTCCATCTACCTGATCTCATTGACCTGCTAGCCTTGACAGGCTGCAAGGCAATTGCTGATCTTATTATGAACATTTATGTTGTGTCCAATATTTTCTTTCTGTTAGCTAACACAGGGTCTCCAAGGTCTGCGTTAAGGTGTCTGTGAAACGGGCTGAGAGGAACTCACAAAGAAAAAAGTGTAGAGAATAACAGTTTTTATTCACTCTCCGTGAAAAAGGAGGGCTGCTTTTTCCAGAACGGGGGTTTTTCTTAACAAAATCAGACATCTTTTCCCCCTCCCACCCTCCAGACACAGCTCTGTAAACCAAATGGTACCTTAACCAGATGACCTCAGTCGTGACCTGGGATTTTAACCCTGAAACAGGAAGCACAGCAATTCAATCAAACATGATAAAAGACGCAGAAGTGCTGGATAGGGAGAGTCCCAAGTGAAATCACTTGGCAGCTGTGGGAATCTCCAAACACAAACTCTGAGGCCTCTCAGTCCAGGCAGCCAATGGGACTCCTTGCCGAATACCCACACTTACCGAAGAGTCCCAAAGTCTGTCCCAGTGGAATCACCAAAATATGAAACCGGAAGAGACCAGCATTCATACTGCCTGCCACATAGCGAACCCAATGAGCAGAGACAGGGATTGATTCTCTATGGGCGCTTTATTCAGGTGGCCGCGAACTGAGGAGATGGCGGGTTCCATACCCAACGGACCGTCTCACATTCCATTTAAAATGGCCCTTTTTATCAGGGAGAACAAAGTGTGGGTAAGGGATTTTGGAATTCAGGGAAAAGTTAATTGGATTAAAAGACCTGCAGTATTCTTTGCCCCCTGCAGTGGTCTCTATCTGTGTCCTGGACAGTGGTCCTCTCACCCTGGAGTACAATGGCTCAGATACCATCTTCACGGCTTGCAGTCCCCCTGAGGCACAAAGGTGGAACTGCTTGTGGTCTCCTGGAGTCAGGGTGAGTCACACCTGACGACAGCTCCTGGAATGATAGCTTTTATTCGCACTGATCACTAAGCTCATTAGCAATTATTTACACTGAAATTTTCCAATCCCTCGAGTCTCCTATCACCATCATCTATTCACCACAAAAATTTACTAACCTGTAAAATTTCTCTTAAATACTAAATGTATAAATATAACAATTATATTCTGATTTATTTTGAATTGTGTCCTTTTTGTTTTGAGTGAGTATAAATTAATTTTTATATATCATGGACACTTTCCTTCTGAGTAATGAAGATTGCAATGATATGCTTCTGCTTTTAGTGGGTCTTAAATGATCTTTTCAGACAATCGATCAGTTCTATTGCTGTACAGTAAATAACTTAAAATGTGTTTGATTAATTTGAGAGAATGCAAATATGAACTGTGTAGTAGATAATATAAAAAATAAATAAATAATTGTGAGTTACATTAGCCTGCAAGTCTTTGTTGTCTTCCATATATATATTTGAAGAATAATTTATTAAAAATAAATGTTATGGTTCCCAACTTACTTTTTAGAGAAATACATAATTCTAAGGTTTGCATTAAAGTTTTCCGGTTCCATTCCTCACCCAACCCCCCCACCCCAAGACAAAAATCTGATTGGATGACACAGACCAGACTGGTGGGACGCTGGCACACTTCGAAGTGGTCTCGGGAGTAATGAGAGGGATGCTTTATTGTATACAATGTGGAATGTATAAAATATCTATCTTCAAAGCTTAAAAATATTATTACCGAGACACCACGTTTATAATTAATTACTTTAAGGTCATTGATGATTTCACTTGCATACAAGCATCTGATATTTGTCAGAGGTATTCATATATAAAATTGACTTGTACCTTTCCTACAGTAAAAATCTAGTCCTTAAAGACCCAAAGGCAAGTATGAGAAAGAAATACATCACTTGCATAATGGGTCTGGCAAACACTTACTTCTTAAAATATACCTCTTCTGTGTCCTCTGTAGGATGAAATTACCATGCAGAAGAATTGTGAAAATAGATGCATTTTATTGATCTAAAAGTTATCTTCCTGATTAGCCTGTTATCCAGGTACATTTGAGCAGCCCTGACTTTTCATTTCATGGTGGAAGAAGCAGAAGAATTCTGGTCAGGGTCTTGAATAAATCTGGGTAGATTGTTGGCCAGAATCAAGATGGGGGGAGGAATTCTCTGCCTTTCAATCCCTCAGCTTCCCAGCTTTGCTATCCTGTTTTTGAGTCTATGTCAGGACCCTGCCATAGTCTTTCCTTATCTGTGTGGGGATCTGCAGTTCAACCTGAACTGTGAGAGGCCATAGCACTCCTAAGAAGCACTCCTAACAGCTAACTGGGCACAAATTTAAAACCAGAGCCTGGCAACCATTGCTTCCGGAGGCATCTCACACACTGTGCGTTTGAGGGAAATGCCACAGACTGAGCCTCCAGACCCCTGCACAGTGTTCCTGCCATCTGAGTCCACCTTTGTGAATTCTTAATATTGTACTTCAATCAATTGCTGAGTCAACTTTTTGATGAAGACTAACTGGAACTTTTTAAGGAAAACATGATTAGTTGAGAGCATCCTCGGGAGGAGCTAGGGCATATGAAAGTCCAACACTGCAAGTGGGAACCCTGCAGGAATAACACTGCATTTATAATAACGCTCTATGGTTCATTGGAAACCCCATATTGGAAACTCCTGTTGGCATAATTTTCGTGGCAGGGGCCGTTTGTTGACAAGACACAATCAGCTACATTCTTATCTATATGTAGCCTAGGGGAATCTCGAATGAGTAACAGGAAGTGAATACTTTTCAGCCAATAGGAGCGAGCCACGCCCCGTGAGTGGCCCATAAAAGGCAGGCAAATCAGGTCAACTCTCACTTCTGGTCCTGGATGTGTCTCAGGGAGGGCTTTTCATCTGGGCTCCAAGATGGATTCGGGGACAGAAAACTCAGACTCCCAGAGCCCCTCCATCCAAAGTGCCACTGACCAGCCTCCCTCCCAAAAGAACGTTTTTGAAGAAAGGCACTCAGAAGTGGATCAGAAACTACTAGAAGAAAAAGGCAAGGATTCTTCCCAGTCAAGAGAGAATGACATCCAAAGACGAGGTAAAAACAGGCTGCGTGGAGGCTGGAAAGAGGTTTGAGATCAGGGGAAACCCATATTATCTATTTATTTCTTTGTTTGTTTTATAGTAACACACACCCCAGAGGGAGACCATAAAGATGAAATAACATTTTCACTAACTGATTGATCGATTGATTTTTAAAAAATATTTTTGTTTAATTTTCACGTGAGGACATGCTTATTGATTAGAGAGAGGGAAAGGAAGGGGGAGAGAAACACGGATGTGAGAGAAAAACATTGATTGGTTGCCTCTCTTATGTGCCCCGATTGAGACCTCAACCCAGGCACGTGCCCTGACCAGGAATCAAACCCACGCACAGCCTTGCAGTTTGTGGGATGCCATCCCACCAACTGAGCCACACCACTCAGGGTGAAACCCAGCACTTTTGTCTCCAGTTGGGTTTTATTTTGACATGGGTGGTAGAAAACGTTACCTAGCCTTCAGGGTGCCTGAGGAACCGTGACAATGATCCTCTGGAACCATGGTGCTCATGTCAAGTGTGACATGAGCCAAACACCCTCAGTCAAGAGAGTTGCCCACAAGTACTGACCAGTCGATGGAGAGAACTGTCCACAAATAGGGGTTTCTGTGTGCCTTCAGGGAGGCCAGTCACCTAAACTCCCTCTTTTTGTCCAGGTCAGAGGCCAAGACAAATGAGGAAGAGAATTGTAAGAAGAGGAGACTCAAAGGCAGAAATAGCTGCAATCTATCAGGTGAGATTTTACTTTGGGGGGAAAGAGGGACGGGATATGGGTATCTGTCTCTCGGGGCAGTGAACTGGGTACCAGAACCCAGTTGTGGCAGACAGAACCTTGCAGATCCTGAACTCTAGGAATGGCAGGGAAGTGAGCAGTCACTGAAACTCACACTTTATCTGCAGAACCAGAAAGCTGCTCCAATTGGGAGAGCCCCAGGAAGAGGAAACGCACTTCCAGGGACGGCCTCGGCAAGACAGCAGGTAGGAGGTTACCTTGGGGGCCAGGGGGCACAGGAGGAAAAGCGGGGAACATCAAGTGCACGGGCAGGAGAGGGTCTGCTTGGTGGTTTTGGAGACTCTGGGGTTCAGGGAGCATTTGGGGACATAGGATAAGTGTGGTCGCACAGAAATAAAAAGGGCTTGAAAGGAGCAGGATGGCTGTGGGGTTCCCCTGAGGGCACTGGCTGAGACCTGGGAGTGATGGTCCCCTGGGAATTAATCTGGCAGTCTCTCACCCACGAGCTTCCTTTGCAGGGGCCTCTCTAGAAGAGATGTGCAGCGTGACTTCGGAAAAGATAGGAAAAGTGTCTGATGCCGACCAAAGCGGTGACAGCAAAGAGACTGGAAATGCCTGTCATAGGAGAGCCCAGAGAAGGCACAGCAAGAGGCCCAGATCACGGTCCTCGGGAGTCCAGACACCTCCTCTACTTCGGAAAAGCCTGGTGACTTCCCTTCGCACCATGTCGGAGGCCATTTATCAGAACATCGTTCTGCTGCAGAAGCAGCAGCTTCCTTTCTCGCTGAGCTGGGAGAAGTATGCCCTGCTCACCCAGCTCCGGGAGCATCTGTGTACCCAGGTGCAGACCATCTATGCCATGGCCACCCAAGCAGCCTATGTCTTCCCTGCTGAGGGCTGGCTTGTCCCAGCCCCACTACCAGGTCCCTGGGGTCCAGCAGAGGATGAGGAAGAAGAAGCCCAGAGCCCCTTCTAGGCCAGAAACCTGGGGAGGTCAGCCGCTTCCTCAGACAGGAGACAGCTGAAGCTGCCAGTCAATGGGATTAGGGCTCAGCTAAAGGCAGTGGATCCCATTCAGCTGATGCAGCTCTGTGGCTACATCGGAGCTCTGCTCCTTCCCAGATTCTTCCAGATGACCAGCAGGGCCTCTTTACAAGACAATGTGTTACTACTAAGTGGTTAGAATTGTCATTAAAAAATCTTCTCCTGAATAAAGAGTGTAGTTTTTTATTTCCATGAATGGGACCAATTCAATGATAATATATTACACATCAATTTGACCATAACATGACTTCTTCAACATATACACGTGTCTACAAAAATGATAATAAACATGTTATACCTGGGGAATGGGAATTCAATTACACTAGGATAAAAAAGAAATAGCTGACTTAGACTTCTGGCCAAGATGGAGGCGTAGGTAGATAGACCTTGTCTCTTCACACAACCAAAAGGAGGGCAAAAACAAATTTAAATGAAACATAACCAGAACTGCAGGAAAACTGAACTGTATGGAAGTCTGACAACCAAGGAGTTAAAGAGGAAACATTCATCCAGAGGGGTACCAGGGGCAGAGATGGGAAGCTGGGTAGAGAGGAATCACTACAAGGCAGTGGCTGGTGGAATGGATTGTCCAACATTTGTGTACAGATAAACCAAGAGGAACAACTGGGGAGTGAGACAGACCATGGAACCCAGGGTTTCAACACGGGAAATAAAGCTTCAAAACCTCGGAATGTAAAAGAGGCCATAAAAGCTTGTGGGAATTGCAGTGGTGGAGAAACTCTCAGCCTCATGGGAGGATTTGTTGGAGAGACCCACAGGGTCCTAGAACATACACAAACCCACCCACACGAGAATCAGCACCAGAAGAGCCCAACTGGCTTGTGGGAAGCAGGGGAAGTGAGTGAAATCTGGCAGAGAGCAGAGCAAAAGCCATTGTTCCCTCTCAACCCCTCCCCACATACAATGTCACAACCCAGCAATGTGGGTTGCCCTGTTTTGGTGAATACCTAAGGCTCCGCTCCTCACTTGTTACAGAAAACAACTCAGCCGCTTTCGGGTGTACGGAGTGGAAGTTTATTTTACATGTCGGAGCCAGAGGAGTCAGTCTCCAAATTCTGGGCACTCAGCAGCGGGGGAGCAGTTATTTTTATAAAGCAAGGGAGGGACCATTCTTTGGACCCTTACTTCTGGCATGAAAGCAGGAGGCAGTTACAGAAGAGGAAAGCAGAGCATTATCTCTGTCATGCAGACGATAAGTAGTCATCCAGAGAAGCCAAAAGAAAACAACTGGGTTGCAAAAACAAATCACTCTCTAGTCACTGTGTTGTGTCTTAACATAACTATCAATTTCTCCCAACATTCCCTGCTTTGATGCTTGACAGCACTGTTAGCTGGTCTAGCACCTCTGTAAGGCTAGCCTATAAATCTTGGGTTATCATCTGATAATGATGTCTCTGGAGGGACAGGATCTTGGCGGTTGTTCTGTGAGTCACTGTGGCCTCTAGACTCTGGACTATGGTCCGTAGTACACAGGGGCCAAAACTCAGGCCTAAGAAAATGATGATTAGGGGTCCCAGGAAGGGGAGCAATCACTGGAGCCAGGCTTGAGGGTTTATTCCCCGGTTCTCTAATTCTAACTTTGTTTCTTTGGTGCAGCGGTTTATATTCTCTCTGATTTCTTTAACTTTCTTTGCTATGATCTCTGACTGATTTACCTAGTAGCAGCATTTCTCTCCTGGGAACATACAGGTCCCCCCTTTCCCTGGATTCAGAGCATTAATGAGGTTTCTTTCCTCATCATTTTTCTCATCCTGTTATTTACTACTAGGGAGGGGTTCTGAGATTTCTTTCTCCTTCTGGAATCATACAAAGGACAATGGACGAAGGTCTCATTTTCTTGTACTACTTCTGGCTAAACATGGACTTCGTCCTACCTACCCTTGGGTCAGGGGTTCCCTGAAAGAAGGGCGGGGGGTTCAGCATGGATGGAGCCCTTCCTGCAAGGGGAAGGACCTTACAGGGTCCTGGTCAGTTGGCTGTCACGCCTCGTTGGTCGAATTGCGCACATTAAATTACAACTATTAAGTGACAAAGGAAGGGACTTCAGTAAAGAATGGCTTATCTGGAGGAAGGTGTACATGGCATGCTGCACCTATCCAAGACTCTTGTGGCCTACTATACTTCACTCGGGCTGAGGGGAATACATTAGGATTTCCCTCCTTTCAGATTTCTGAGCCCTTTCTGTCCAAGCTATCAAGACAGAAAAGGGAAAATCAGTTCTAAAGTGAAGGCCACAGACCGCCCCAACCCTTTATCAACTGTTCAATCAAACCGTTGAGTCTCGGGGTGGGGGGGACGGCGATGATGAAGATGGGCTCCTTAAGCAAGGCCTATATTGTACCTAATCATCTATAGGCATAGGCAGGTCATTGGCATAGGCAGGTCATAGGCATACGCCCTATGAAAACAGAAGAACACACAGGTTAATTCACATAATAATCCCCAAACCAGTTGCTGTGCCTGTCAGACTGTCTTTTGGGATGACATTCCATTGCAAGGTCCTTCCTGCAATGACATTTAACAGTGGCAATTTGACAGGTCCTTTGCACCTGTAGTCTGTATATTTTTGGTAACATCACAAACCTGGTTTCAACTCTTAAATGAAAATAAACTTTTAAGACAGTTAGCTGCGCCATTCTGATGGCCAATACTGAGCATAGTGATTTTCCTTGAACTATAATTTTTGTCCTTAAGATCGCCCTTACTGTTATTACAGGGACTACTTTGGGTCCCACTTTTGATTTTGACTCTTCATTTGCATAAACACACCAAGAGCAGCCTGGATTACTTATGATCCTTAAGTCCGCTTTGCTGGAACTCACTCAGGGAACCTTCAGATTGACTTCTCAGTCCACCCCTGGGGGCACAGAAGCAGAGCCACACATCTGCCATCTGGCTTCCCTTGTACCAGTCATTTCACTCAAATTCTTGAGCCTCTATTGTGCCTACAGGTTCCTTTTTAGCCATCTTTCAGGAAAGCAACCTTTGTTCCTTCCCTGGAAAGGCTGACTGGAACTGCACAACCAACCAAAGTACCAGGGTTTTCTCCTGGGCTTTCGCTAGCTTCACAGGTCAATCCCAGTTCCCCTGAGCTCTCTGGTAATGACCAGAACCCATACATGCCTCCTTCAAGAGTGATATTCCAGTCAAAGTCCTGGTTAACAAAACCACTTATTGGTCCTATCGGTTTTATGCAAATAAACTTTACATCATCATTTATTCTTTGTCTGGAGAGATAAGGAATAACCACTTATCTGGAGGGAGAAGTAGTTAACAAAACCACTTATTGGTCTTACTGGTTTTAATGCAAAGAAACCTTACGTCATTATTTATACCTTCAGAATGCCAATCTGGAGGGATCGGGTAGGGAGAAAAACACCTTCCATAACTAACACCACATAATTTCTTTCCAAAACTTTCACATTTCTATTTATTTTTATAACTTCCCACAGACTTTCTGCAATATTCACAAACCTTCTATAGCTTTTTTACCTATCTAGATTTATCCACAATTCACTTTTAATCCCTGTTCCTTTCCCACACTGGGAAGGACTGTACTTAAACTCAGGGTTTGGCAGCTAAAAGTCCCTAGCACTATCGGCATCTTCTACTAAAAGTCCCTAGATTCGCGGGGACATTTTTCATTTTTCTGAAGCTTAGACCTTGCAAACACCCTATAAATCAGATGGTCAGCCTTGGACCTCAGTTCATGACCTTCAAAACTAGAGCTATTCCTATCAGAACCAGTTACACAGAGAACCTGACTGCTGCAGTGTCCACACAGCAGCAGCAGAGAGCTCACAATCTGAAAAGAAGCCTTAGCCAGTTCTAAGATGGCGACGCCCATGACTGCTCTTTCCTCCATGGTGGGGCATTCACGGGGCTCATCCATTTTACCCAAAATGGCAGCACCCCGACTCTGGTTCCGTCCACCTACGTTGGCAGCCCCAAGGCTCTGGCTCCAGTCTCCAGAGCAAAGGAGGCCCCCAAGGCGCCTGGCGCAGCAGGTGAGCTGCGAATCCATGGTGGAGACTTCTCCCACTAGCAGGGTGGGAGAAGCCATAGTGGGCCTCACCTCCCCGGAAGGTAACATCACCATGGGAGTTCCTGCTGTCTGGTGTCCCCCTTTATCTATTCTGAGGATGGGAGGAGGTCTGCCAAAGACTAACTCATACAGAGTGTAGCCTGAAGGGTTAGGGGCATTCCTAATTCTAAGCAGTGCCAGCAGCAGCAAATTAGTCCAAGGTAGTCCAGTCTCCTGGTGGAACTTAGCTAGAGTTTCCTTGAGAGTCTGGTTTATGCGCTCTACTTTTCCTGAGCTCTGGGGTCAGTATGCAGTGTGCCCATTCTGTTTCAATTTGTGCCCCTTCTTTAAGGACACCCGGTACCCTGTCTCAGTTAGCAGTTCCAACAGCTGGCAAGGGCCCTCCCAGCACCCGTCTCAGGTTGGCGCGGCTGAAAGTTCATCTACACACTGCAGTAACACTGGGTCAGTCTCCTTCTCGGTGAATAATTTTAGATCTCTGGCCAGGGCATCTCCGAGGGGAGTGGGAGAGTTTCTGAAGCCCTGTGGCAGTCTGGTCTGGGTCTAAGCCAGCTAGGCTGAGGACTGTAGGCGCCTGTAACCCTGGTCTTTGTCACCTGCCAGTGGGCTTTTTCTTTTTCCTTCTCAGGGCAGATACAGAGCAAAATCCCAAACACAGAGTTCCAAAACAACACACAGGTAGAGGGATTCTCTTGTACCAATGCGTCCACTGGTGCCTCACAGAGACATGCTCCTTCAGGCCTGGTCTCATGGCAGAGACATGCTGCTTTGCCTCAGACTAAAGCCCCTTCCTGGGTCCCAAGTGGCAAAGGCATTCTCCCCAACCAGCTACAGGCGACCTTTCCTAGGTTTTACAATACAGGTTT